GGCTTTTAGCTCTGCTGCTCCAGTCCTGACATCTGCCTCATTTTCATGCAATGCAGCCAAGCTCCTCTTCTTCTTTACAAACGCGTGAACCCCAGCAGGCCGGGACAGAATGAAGCCGTTGCTCCTCGTGCAGTTCCCATCATCTGTTGCCACAATATCTGAACAGCTCTGAAAAATCAGCTCTAAGAGCTTTAGTTTATGACAAGCAAATAAAAGTAGAAGCACAGCTTTTTAAACATGAGATCTGCTGATGAGATCTGTCTGTCACCTCGAGTGCTTGTGAAATGATTTCTGACTGCTATTTGGAGACATTTACGTCTGTTTCTACTGTACGGCTTCAGTCGTGTGGGTAGAAAGGCTTTTTCTTTTTAAAACAAATATTGTTTTAATGCAGAAACGAGTTTCTACTGTGATGTGTACAAAAATCCCTCCTGTGCACTTTGTGCTGCTGTTTGTATCTTTTCACCAACACTGCAAATTCACAGCTTTCACCTGGTATCAACAGGAAACCAGACTAGCAGAGACTTGAGGCCCCTGGAGCCACTGTGACAAGAAGCTACGGAGCAAGTGGCAAATTTTACTGACACAAGTGATCCAAACAAAAGCCAATTTATTATTTTTAAAGACAAGTCCTATCAGAGCAACAGAGGTATGAGTGTGAGCATTTATGTAAAGACAGATTTACGGTACCTACACTGGACTTTCAGCACTGAGGTTTATATAAGATGTGGAAACACGGGTTTTATTTTTTTTTCTATTTATTCGTTTCTATTTGGCTAGAAGTGGGAAAAAAGCCCATTTTTAAAAAGGTAGGATTAGGAAAGAATAATGATTTAGTTTAAATGCTAAAATCATTATTATCTAACTGTTGCGCATATTAAAGAGCTCTTTGGCACATAGCCTGAAATCAAACTTCTCCCACACACAACCAGCTGCTGCTTCATATTCTTCTTCATCAAACTGTTTATAAAATAGGACCGGGATCTGAAGAGTGCAGCTAATGCAGCAGGGACTGAAACCTGTTTCACTTTATTAGCAGGGAGCCTCTGCCAGAACAAGCCGAACTGTACGTGTGTGTCAGAAAATGATCCCATTGTTCACCTCACCTGTGTGTGTGTGTGTGATCCCCCTTTACCAGTTATATCTGAAATGGCCAAAATTCTCAACCAGAAGCTTCCAAATACATTTAGCAGTGATTCAGGCGAGCACACGTGGTAAAGCTGACTTACTAAAGTTCAAACAGAGCATCAGAAAGGGGAAGAAAAGTGATTTAAATGACTTTGAACGTTGCTTGTGTCAGATGGGCTGGTTTGCATTTTTCAGAAATTGCTGCTCTTCAAGGATTTTCCACAAACACCTGTAGACCGAGAGGTGGTTGTGGATCCAGTGAGCAGCAGTCCTCTGCCCGAGATCAGAGGAGAGTGGACAGACTGCTTCAAGCTGACAGAAGGACAACAGCAACTCAAATAACCACTTGTATTTAAAACACAGACCTCAGATACAGCAGCAGAGAACTGCACTGCATGTCCAACACAGTAGTTTCATTTAGCCTAAATCATAGGTGTCAAACTCTGGCCCGTGGGCCAAATTTGGCCCGCAGCCTAATTACATTTGGCCCGTGAAGCCACCAAATTACTATCAGAGCTGGCCTACTGGTATTATACAGCTAATATATATATTGTTTAGTATTAAGCTTTGCTTGTTCCATATTCAGTTTTTCAGCAAAACCTCTTTGAGTCCATAAGAAAAGATTCGTTCTTATATCTGGAGGAATAAATATATTTCAATAAATATTAACGTTAGCCCGCGACTTTGTTCCAGTTTTGAATTTTGGCCCACTGTGTATTTGAGTTTGACACCCCTGGCCTGAAACTAGCCAAAATGAAAGTGATGGACACGAACCCCTCCTCTGGTATTACTGTGTTATTGCTGCTTCGCATTCAGATGATTTTTAGAAAAGCTGAGTTCTGACCTTGAGGTTGAAGTCACCAAGATTCAAAGATTCATCAGAGATTTTAGTTTTTGCATTAACTACATTTTCAGAAAAGTTGACCTCCGACCTCTGACCTTGAGATCAAGGTTACAGGAAGTTGAACTCACCTGAGATTTTTAGTAGATGCACCAATCATATCAGTTTCAAACACCTTCACAAGATTTTCATAAAACTTGAACTCAACATCAAGGTCACAGATTCAAACTCGTCCAATATTTCACACCTATAGTGTCAAGTTCAAAGTTCACACTCTTGTGTATCCACACTGCCTGCTCACAGCTGCCCACCCGGGTGGAGACGATAATAACAGTGTTTTATTGCTGAGGGATAAAGACCCACAATGAAAGAAAAGCAAAAACAAACCACGTGATAAAGCAATGACTTTCATACTAACAGAGACTTTCTGATTGGATTACAAACATCTCACAAACTTCATGACTGGAGCTCAGTTATGTTATGAAAGACATTTAATGTGAAATTCATACTTGAGCAGTGAAGAAAACAATGAGCCTGCTGTAACAAAATATGACATCATAACATAAAGTTTATTATAAACTGTAGAAAACGTCCCATAAACTAGAACTGGTTCTACAAAAACTAAAATGATCTGATTTGACCTGCGATAACTAAAGATTACAGCTGCAGAGCTGCAACCGAGGTCATATTTTCTCAATATAACAAAGATACCAGGATATATATGAAAGCTTTCTCTGTGTTAGTGCACTCACACTGCTGCTCTGCTTGCTCCTGTCAGTCAGACATCATCAATAACACAATACATCAGAATCTAAAGCAACACAAATCCTGACTTAAGAAGGATTTTGTTGCTCAAACAAGCTTAAATGTATCTTTATTTTTATTACATTACCACGTTGACTATATGGACACTGTAATTGAAAAATGGCACTTGACTTTATGTTAATATATTCTGCTTTTTGCTGAGGCTCTTACACACAGGATTGGGGATTTGCTTTGTTAATGAACACTAAATGACATGCAGGTTTTTACTGCAGCGTCTGTCCAAGCTGTCCAAACATGTTCAAATATTGATATTATTTGTTCTGTCACTGAGGGCATGTAAGGAAGCCTCATGCATACTTTATTTGACCTCACTGCTGCAGTCTCAGTGGGGCTGGGCAAAGCCCTCCTTATCACA